CCTCCGCTTAAAAGACTGCACTTTCTTCTCTAGAAGGTTGCTGGGGTGGGAGCGGGGAGGGACGCGCTGGATGGTCCCACAGCATGATCCCTGCAAGTGTGGGGAGGGGAGAGGAAGCAATGACCTGCTTGGTTGGGCACTCTGGGTGTCAGAAACCATTCTTCCTTCAAGGCAAAGGCAAATAGGTGCACACAAGTGAAGGGCAGGGCTTCAGGGCTGAGCTTGGGCAGGAACTCAGTTCAGTGAGGGTTAGGGAAGGGAGCTTCTGTTTGGAACCTGAATTCATTTCTTTCCCTGCTTCATTGCCACCCTTTGAGGCAACTTCCTCCCTTGGAAATGCATGCAGGTGGAGCAGATGCTGCTCAGAAAGGTGGAAACTGAAATGTTTTAGAGGTCAAACTGAAATATTTCAGTTGAAGCCATTAAAAACCACCCATTAGATGAAGTTTTAGGTATTTGGTTTTTATTGTGATGCAAGGCAGGAAAATACCTGAAATCCTCAATCCCTCCAGGATGGGAAGACATTTTCCGATCCCTTCTCTTTGCTGGCACAAGCCATGCAAGGGGAGGAGATGTTCCTTTGGGGGAAAGCCTTTGGCTACCTATTTCCCTTTGGAAGGGGCTCAGAGCTCTGCTTGGGAAAGCTGTGGAGCCCCTTTGGGTTTCTCCCAGGCTGATCTTGGCCACACTGAGCTACTTTCAATCATCTCAGTGCTGTTCAGGCTGGGCTCTGCACACCAAGAAGGGCTGGACATTCGTTCCAGTGAGGTCTCTACAGTCCTGTTGCTTGCTTTGTTGCTGGGTCGTGATCCCAGCCCCGTTTCCCTGCCTGCATCCCTGTTGGCAGGGGTGGCAGTGCTGGCTCTCTGTCCCCACAGGGATTACACCGACAATGACTTGGATGGGGGTGAAGTTGAAAACTCCACTCGTGCTCGGAGCTCCCCACCCATTCCCTCTGGAACTGGCTGCCTGGATTCCCACTTCAGTCAAGACCAGATAGCAATAGAGAGCACAGGTACGTTCCTTGTCTTCTCCCTGCCGTGGGGATAACTCCTCTCCCTCACTCAGGGGGTCTGTGCTGCATTTGCCTTTCTCCCATTGCCATTATGGAGCTGTTGCTCTTCTCCCCACACCTTGCCAATGGGCTCGCTTTGCCCTGTGCCAAATAGCAGAGCTTGGTGTGAGCAGAGACGACTTCTTTGGTTCTACATTGACCAGTAGTGACTGAAAACTGAGTTGTTCCTGCTTCAGGCTTGGAGGGGTAGCTTAAATCATCCCCGAAGCAAAAGACACACAGGGAGCCCCAGCTGGGTTCATTCCCTCATTGTCCCACTGCAGATGAGGCCTTTGTGTAGGGATCTCCCAGGGGCTGTCGGCACGAGGGGATACACTTGGGATGTGCTTTATCTTGGAGTGTCTCTGTGAGATTCCCTTTAATTTCCATAGAAACACTGCTGGCCTCCCATCTGCTGGCTGCATCTTGCCCTCCTTGGGTCCACGCTGGCAGGGATTTGGTTGCTCTAATAAAGAAACCTTTGTGCCAGCAAACAAATCCTGTTGGGATGAGGTGGGGTTGAAGTGTTCTGTAGAGTGTGGACTCACAGCACCTTTCTGTCCCTTGTCCTTCATCCTTCCTTCCCTCCCTGTCTGTCTGTCCCCTCCCATGTGCGCAGAGCCCCTGAGCGTGGAGAGCACGGCCTGCAGCCTGGGCAGCATGAGCGAGTCGGGGCAGGGCTACGAGTGCAGCACTCCCTCCGAGACCAACTGCTCCTCCGACCCCCAGGAGGAGCCGTCCTCAGGCCC